AAACTGAGGGTTGCTGGAGTGGTGGGGGGTGGGAGGGATGGGGTGGCTGGGTGATAGACATTGGGGAGGGTATGTGCTATGGTGAGCACTGTGAAATGTGTAAGACTGATGAATCACAGCCCTCTACCTCTGAAACAAATAATACATTATATGTTAAAAAAAAAAAAAAGAAGATAGTAGGAAGGGAAAAACGAAAGGGGGGAATAAGAGAGGGAGACAAACCATGAGAGACTATGGACTCTGAGAAACAAACTGAGGGTTCTAGAGGGGAGGGGGGTGGAGGGATAGGTTAGCCTGGTGATGGGTATTAAAGACGGCACGTATTGAATAGAGCACTGGGTGTTATATGCAAACAATGAATCATGGAACACTACATCAAAAACTAATGATGTATGATGATTAACATAACATAATAAAATAAAAATTAAAAAAAAGAATAAATTGGGTCTTCTTTTTGGAGGGCAAATTAATGGTGCACCCATCAAAATTAATAATGTACCTATCTTCTAACTCAGAAATTTACTTCTGTAGTCTGTTCCATAGAAATAATGACATATTAGCATAAATATACATCTGACCAATGATGCCCAATCATGTCCAGTTTAGCGCTGTAACAATCAAAACTCTAAAAATCTTAAATATATACAGTAAAGTTAAATAAGCCATAGAGTACTATATAATACATTTTAAAAATGACAGAGAAAGGTCTCCAAGAGATAATTTTTAAGTGAAAAGAGCAAGCTGTATATGAATTTTATGTTTTAAAAAAGAATTCTATGTATAAATGTGTTTGTGCACACATGCATGTATGTATGTAAATGTGTGTAAGACAATCTGGAAGAGTATTTACTAAACTTCTAGCAGAGGTTCCCATTTGGGGAGATTATGGATTGCTAGAGCACAAAGTGAATGAAAACTGGCAAAGGGGGATTTTAGTTATTTGATTTTTTCCCCAATAATCTAACTGTATTTGAATTTTTATTAATTTCACACTTTTAAGAGCAAAATAGTACTCCTCCCCCTCAAGAGAAATAAAAATATGAAAACACAGAGTAATTTTTAAGGTTTTATGTTGCAGATGTATAGAGTATAGCATAATAAAGCATTCTGAGTGACTATTTCAATCATAACCACCAGCATAAATTAGAACTTTTATTAGCATTAATATTCACATGTACAAAATTTGTGAAAGACATTTTAGCTAATACAAAATATAGCATTTTAAGTTTCTGAGTTGGTTAAACAGACTACAAGAAAACTACAGTTCCTAACTTTTACAAAACGCAGAAAATATTAGCCCATGGTTAACTATGTTGCAGTATTCACGATCATATTTATTCCCTTTTTTTAAAATTATGTGAGTTTATCTGGTTTAGTCATACTATAAAATAGTTATAGTCCTTAATTATTCATCAAAACATGTAATGAGGCATGATCAAAAATTTTCTGGCCAGTATAATGTTGATAGCTAGACCTGGATGTCAAATGGACCACTCAAATTTAGTACATCCACAATGAGTAGACAGAACCCCATCCACCATCCCTCTTCCCCCCATACCCAGCATCTTCCCTATCATTCCTAAGATTCTGCTCAGGAAAAAAAACTTAGACGTCATCCATGACTCCTCATTTCCTCTCCACTCCACATCCAATCCATCAGCAATTCTTGCTGGCTCTGTCTTTACAGCGTATCTATAATCTGAACACTCACTCCTCATGACTCCACCACTACCACTCCAGGTCA